TTTCAGCATTCAACCTAATCAAAGCAAGCAGTACCACAACATTTGTGTGTTAGCATAGCAAGTCATAGACTTGATATTACGGATAGAAATAGGATAGACGCGGCGGCGACTGGATCTATTTGGTTGACAGTAGGTTTTACCATAGACGTTGTCCATGCAACAAAGGCTTGACGATGAGACTTAATCAGAGGCTTTAGCCTCTAAGTAGTCACCCAAACGCAGGCGAAGGAGAATAACGCCTCGAGGAGCAGAGACAGGGTGGCAGGGGTCGAGTGAAATACGTGAACCAGGGAGAGAGCAGACGGATCTTACATGGTAAGAGAGAGACTGTGATAAGACCTAGGGAAGGAGGACTGCGTAACAATATGGCAGACTTTAATCAACATTCCCAGCACAAGGGTGAAGGCGGTGAGAACGACAGCGTGGAGTATGAAGGGTTTTCATGAATGCGCTCAAAGGAGCACACCACACTACATCTAAATAAACACAGTAAAAATTGAAACAGTGAAAGCGTGATATGAGAATATAGGAAATGTGAATAGCCCAGAGCAGAAGGGGAGATACCACAATTGTTTAGCACACGTTTAGTCAAAGGACCGACTTCACTTGTCTCTGACGAGTTGTGTAGTGTTAAGAATGACGAGACTCACTCAAGATGCCGGCAAAACGTCTGGGAATGCACCACGTCCACAGTCCTACTCTGGAAATTAGCATGCATACGATGGGCTCCGGACTTAGAGCGCTCATCTAAGTCTTCCTACCAATATGACCAAGTTGAGAAAAAAAGTTCAAACAACCTCTAAATTAAGTTGAATTTATTAGAGATAAAATAAGGCTAAGAAAAGGACGCTATTGAATTTGCCATCGCTTGAACTTTTATTAATATTTGGGGACCTATAATCAAGGCGAGTAAGTAGGCTCCCCTTCGCTTCCATAAAATGATCTAAACACTTGTTTCAGGTCAAAAGGTATCGTTCAACTCACCCATAACATTATAATTTTGCAATTAAGAAGTGGAATAAATTGCATTCGGCATTTGGGTTTCGTTTCGGTAATAGAGGCACCAAATACCTGGGACATGAGAGCATAGTAGGAAAGTACGTGGAAAGTTAAAAAGCACCGAAGCATAAGATTGACTATCGTGTCTAATCTCCCGATGAATATTTCTATTTATCAAAAGTAATAAAATTTCAAAGTTGAAATCGAACGCATCATGTTTTTACAGATTACGTCAAAGCAGCACAAGAGCTAAGTGACTAAAAACTATGAATAGAACAGAGCTTCGGCCAAATGATTTCAGCTTACAGCACTACGGCTAATTCCGACCACAAAGTTATCATTCCTCTATCATTCGATTATACTTCGTTTAAGATAGAAAGATTTCCTACCTCAATTATGTGCACGTAACTTTAGCTACCAATTGAATAAAATAAGTCATAAAATCCTAATAAAAGCAGGGTTAGAAAATATAAATAGTCTTCATTAGTATAGGGTCGGAATTAAATGCAGGAATAAGCGGAGATTTTCGCTAAGCTAAAGCTACACGAGAAGGCATTTTTTATGATATAGTTTGAATGGCCGCCTGAAATACTATTTATTCCGAGAAAAAATTTTATAAAAAGAAAACGAGCCTAAAATAGCTCGAGATAACTAAAGGAAAATGGAATATTTGATTTTACGCCTAGATTAAAGTATATGAATCTTTCAGGAGATGAAGACGAATTGTAATGCACACTCGTTCAATAAAGGTGATAAATAGAGAGGCGAAACGGATCGCAGCAAATATCCGAGTAATAGTGAGAATTATAACATTATATCAGCTTAAAATAAAATAAAAGTTTATAGTGTTAATACCATTCCAACCTACCAAGTGTGGGCTCTCGGTAATTGCATAGGCGTGCCCCAACACTCAATTGTGAATTTTTGCGGTCCTGTTGAGCCCCACAGTTCCGAGAAACCGTTCATTGGGACCCGAGAGGTACCCGTGACAAATTGGAGTAGTCGACTGCGCAACTCATTTGTAAAAGTATACACGGCCTTTTATGGGTAATAATAATAGAAAAAAAGGCATAATACATAAATACTATCTTGTGCTGCTTCTAATATTTAGAAGATTAAATTATAATCTAAAGTATTAATTAAAGCAATACTAGTTAATTAAGTCTTTAATTCTAATCCGGCTAAAAATTACCATATAAAATGTGGCCTTATGCTTTGTTGTGACCTCCGAAACGTACCCATATGACTAAATTTCGTTTTTCAAATCAGGGTTTTGGAAATATCAGGTAGCGAAGCAATTTCTACTCGTCTATGACATGGTAGAATATTCCAAAAAAAATTTCTGCATTTGATTGTAATTATCTTACCATCTCAATAGTAAGTTATTTTTATGGCTCAGAATGAGAAATTATGGGGTAAGAAAAATAAAATTTATTGAACTATGAAAGGGTAATTTTTTGCCAGATGGAAATCAAAATGATTTTTAATGATCGAAGGTTAAAAGTAATGCCTCTCAAGAAGAAGCCTTTTGAAATAATCTGGGTTACTTGGTCCAAAGGTTTAAGATTGCAAACAATGTGAAAGAAAGAAATGATTTATTAGGGCTTGATAGTTGAGTTAACTTGAATTAATTCTTAATTGATTTCACTGTACTCTTATTCCCAAAGGTGAATTCTCAGCCAGAAGTCTTAGTAGTACTCTTCATGGGCAGTAGTGAAGCCTTACCCTAAAGACACATAGAGTTCAGAAGCAACGAGGCTGAGGGAAGAAATATTACGCAATTCACATAGCTAAATAGCAATATTTGAATTATCAATGCTCTGCAAGCAGATAAAACCATATTACTACCTTAGTGAAAGCATATGGCTTGATATAAAATCAAAACTTCTTGAATCATTAACGGCGATAAGTGCGTTCCTATAAGTAAACGCTTGAGTATGGTGTTTTCTCCGGTATATCATAATAGTTGGCTAGAAAGGACGTGGCGGAAATCAAAACAATTGAAACGGTTAGTCAGAAATACATTGCCTAAATCTAAGAATGACAATATTAAGAAATCAAAGGGCTGATGCAATAACAGTCTACCTGGACTATATAGATTAGATTAAGGAAAAATTTAAGTATCTCGGAAATTCGAATTACCCACCTAACATCCTGAGTTTTATCAGTAATCATGTCAGTATTTTGACTTCTAAATTTGTAATACAAAAAATTAATGCGTCATAAGAAAGTTGCTTCTGTTTTATTCAAAAAATTCTATAATAAGAAGTGGAGAGACCCACCTTCCAAAAATTGACAATAACAGGGTGATTGGCATGGAAGTCGCCTTTGTAAAGAGTATTTGCCTTCCAGTCATTGACATTGATATCCTGTAGGCCACATATCAGCAGTTCAAGCTCATTAGCATCGAAGATCTGAAGTGTTTCTAATGGCACGAGATCATTAAAGCCTTCAAGAAAGTAGCACATTTGCTGTTCGACACGTGACACAAATCGCCAGTTAATAATGCGCCTAGAAGCCCAAAATAAGATATGAATATATAAGGAATGATAAAGGAAGAACATAAACAAATAGTGAGATAAATAGAAAGAAGATTATTCAAAGATATGTCAGTGATAGTTGTACGATCATAGAGTTTCAGGAGCTACTTCTGACAACAAGATACTTAAGTTCTATTAAGAAAAGAGAAAGCAGTTATCAGATTGCACAGAACCAGTGTTTTCCTCGTTTATATACTTCTAATACAATGAAATTCGATAAAAAATTTAAAGCTTTTGGGAAAGTACGAGTTAATATTAAATGATTATAAGTGAAACCGTCCTGATGATTTTAGGTTGTGTGTATCATTTATAGCAAGAAGAGTATGAAAAGAAAGTGGTAAAGGGTTCATATAGCTGAGGATAGAGATGAAGAAAAATCAGTCAACATAAAAATGATAATAAAAAAAAGTCGAATTTATTATTTAAAGGAAAAAAATAATTATGAGTTGTCAGAAGCTTAAGACTAGCAGACAATGAGTTCTGGGACAAGGAGTTTGACAAACTGACACAGATTTGCCTTAGTAACGGATACCCAAGAGCATTTATAGTAAAAAATGTGGAGATTATAAAGGGCCGATTTCAACTTGGATTTTATGAAAATCAGATCAGGAATCAGGATGACAACCAAAAGTGGATTTGCCTACCATCATCACAACTGAGCCAAAAATTGCGACCGTTACTAAAGAATTTGGAGCATCAGGGTGATAACAAAGGAGAAGAAAACACTTTTCACAAGACTGCCGACGCAACACGAGAAGACTGACAAACTTGAATGCTCGGGAGATTATCGCATCAAATGCGGCAACTGTGAGCAGAAGTATATCGGTGAAAAAAGAAGAAAGATCGGCCTACGAATCAAGGAACATCAAAGACTCTACAGGAACATTGATACTAAAAGATCCGAAATAGCGGAACACATTGCACGAATGGGGCAATAAATCGACTGGAAATTGAACGAAAGGTTGGCTGCATGTGGTGAAGATACAAAAAAGCGCAAAATCCGAGAGGCCATCGAAATACTGACCGAGAGAGATCTAATGAACAGGAGACTTGAACAAGGCAGGATCAGCGAAAAGTTTGCATATTGCCTAAACAAAGTATGAGAAGACAAGGCAAATGGAAGATCAGCAAAAAGAAGACGTCTGGAACAAAATAATATCCTTAATTTTAGGAAAGAAAGATCGCAAGGGGATGAGAAAGTAAGAATCAGAAGCAAAGAGGAGACGTCTTTAGTGAGCCTTGTCAAAACAAGTAAAACCACGACATTTGTGGGTTAGCACACAAGAGACTAGGAGGTAGAAAGCGATGGACATGGAATTACAGATAGAAAGAGGAAAGACCAAAGTTATTTGGCTAACAATAGACTGGTTTGATCTTAAACATAATCCTTAAATATGACTATTATTAGCCAACTAGATCTAGCTTCCACTGTTTCTATCCTCTTTCTGTCTATATTACCAAGTCTATGACTTGCTATGCCCTAGTCTCTTGTGTGCCAACCCACAAACGTTGTGGTTCCACATTGAACCTAAACAAACCCAGCAGTACCACAACATTTATGGGTTGGCACACAGGCAACTAGGGCATGGCAAGTCATAGACTTGGTATTAGAAATAGAGACAGGATAGACGAGGCGGCGATTGGAGCTAATTAGCTGACAGTAGGTTGTACAAGAGACGTGGTACATGTAGGAAAGGCATAAACATGAAACTTACTCAGAGGCTTTAGCCTTAACGCAGGGATGGGTTAATTACGCCTCGAATAGCACAGATGGGGCGGTGGCAGGGATCGAGTGAAATACATGTACCAGGAAGCAGACGGATTCAACGGAGCAAGAGTGAGTCTTTGATAGGACACAGGGAAGGACTACGTAACAATATGACAGACTCTGGTCAACATTCCCAGCACAAGAGTAAAGGGGGTGATAACGACAGTGTGGAATGTGAAAAGGTTTTTATGAATGCCACTTGAAGGAGCACACCACACTACATTAAAAATAAGCACGGTAAAAATTGTGACAGAAAAGGGATGATAGGAGGATATAGGAAATGTGAATAGGCCAGGGCAGA